TATATATATATATATATATATATATATATATATATATATATATATATATATATATAATGAAATCGTATTTGCTTTGCCTCTCCCTAACCACCTTTATTTATTATTGACAAGTAGAAAACTACGCTATACGAGAACGAATTAACTGATTTAATTGGCATCGTCATATAGATCATTTGATGCTAATAATTTCATTGCTCAGCTATATTAGATGATTGTAGGTTCCTCATAATTCTTGTTTAAAGCGCGATAATATAGAAACGAGACTGCGAAAATGCCGACATCGAGTCATTACAGCTAGCAAAGGTCAAATACTTGGGAGGAGGAATAGAAATAACATAGCAGGTTAAGTTAAAAAGAAAATGCAAACAGTAGTAGAAACTAAAGCCCCGTTTAAAATTTCTAACGTCCTCTTTGGAATTAAAGATATCTACAAATACGAATGAAATTAGAATTCACAAGAATTAACATCAGTCAGATAGCTTCCAAATATCAGTAAAATTCATTTCATGCTCAATAAAATTTTATATTTTTACTAATGAAATTGGGCTCAATTTGCGAAGTGGCGCTGCGGAGTAAATAAAAGCAACTTTTTGCATTTTCGATCACTGTTCCGCCGGGGGAGCTCGGAAATAGCCAAAATTCAAACGAAGTTGTTCTAAGAAAATGAAAGTAAGAATTGTTTGCGGCGCCAATCGAACCCACGCTGGCATGAAGCCCTGTAAAATAGTCTCGTATTGAATTACTCAGTCTTTACAAACTTCAAACCTAAAAACGAAGTAGTTACCTAAATGGCTGTCATCTGAAAAAACAGAAAAAGAAATTAACGATTCACCTTGAAAAAGCCAGCTGGACCAAGTTTCGCGGTATATACGAAGCAAGACAAGATACTCTGCAAATATCGACCCTCAATCTTCACTTTAAATTTGAAAGAATATTCCCCTTTTTAAGAAAATTCATTAAAGAACTGAGACGCGATTACTATTATTGTCAAGCTCGACAGGACTTAGGTGTCACGCATTACTGGTTTGAAACCATGAAGTAACGCATACATAAAAGTTAGATCTCTTCATCCACTCTATATTGGGACCCGCGCGGAGCATCAAATAGTAAAAAATTTACGGTGAACTGGCCCGGCTTTGCGTTCATCATACGTGTCTTCATAACATCCAATGGCTGAGTTAAAACCGTCGCAATCGATGCCTTAAAAATTTTTTGTTGGCTTTGTCGCGAACTGTGCTAAATCTAAATGGAATTACATATGAACGAAGAAAATGGTGATAAGCGGTTTAAAATTATCAGGAAAAGCATGGTATGGTACCGCAGCGAATGAAGACCCGAAGTGAGTTGTTGGAGTGTCGCTGAAGTAACCCGATGTAATGGCGATTTGTTTGATTTGGTCATAGAACGACAATTGACCAATGGTCATGAAAACAGCTCTGGATGTTGCCATTGCAGCTCCATTAAAAAGTTTAGTGACGCCTTCTTCACGCATTACTCGAAATAACCCATCGAATGCATGCTTGTAATTCCGCCGTTGTGCTGCTGGTAACTAGAAAGGAATGAAGTGAATAAACCTTGAAACAATGTCCGGCTAGCCAGTTAGTGCTATATCTTGATCTCGAAACTACAAAGGTTTTAGTATGCTGCATTCAGTATTAGACCAGGTTCCATTACGTTCAAATCTAACACTGTGCCCAAGTATTTTTAATGTTTCCATTTATAAAGTCATATGCATATTAGGATTGTATTTATAAGAGTTCATCAAGATATGGGAAAAAGGTTCAACATCGTAACGAGTTGAAAATGATTTACTGCAATGAATAAATGTTTCTTATTAAACATCAAAGTTTTGTACTTTTATTTCCGCCTACCTCCCAAGAAAGGAAAAATCTCGTGTTTGGGAATTCGAATAATATTTAGAATTTCTACCGGGATTAAAAGACCTTATAACATTCCAATTACCTAAAGAAAGGAACAGTATGCACCTTCATATCATTTTGCATGCGCACATTGACCATATCTCCAGGGGTACCAATGAAACCTCCACATGCTCCGCTTATCCCCGCCATTGCAGCTTTCTGATAGAAAGGAATGGAGGTTGAATCTATAATGCATGTGAATCATGCATATAAAACAAGGGCATTTATTGTATCCTACAATTTTTTTTCGATAATACACTTCAATTGAATAACTGGAAACAGTTAGCATGACTTCAATACCTAATAAAGTTGTAATTATCCACAGTTTCACATAGCATAATTTAGTCTGATTATTCGACTCACACTTTTTCACAACTCCGAAATCCTAAACTTTATTACCAAAAGCTGGTATTCGATAACGTTATAGGCTATCTGACGTTACTTAATACATATTTTTACGGGTCACGGAATAATCCGATCAGAATAATTTTTACATTTAAAAGAGCATGTCTCCCAGCAACAATACAACAGCATAAGGACCCGCTGCCAAACCATTCTGCTCAAATTTATCCCCTGAACAGTCTCATGTATTTCCACCTGTTACTAGAAATAGCTCTGTCGAACAAGACAACAAACCTCCCGGAAACTGGTTCTTCAGCTGCTCATACATACCAAAACGTGTCAAAGAATATGTCATCTGAAAAGCATTAAAATATGATAGCAATCTGTCCAGAGCACATATCTTGCTGTTGTAACTATTGAATGCATTTCAACTTTACCATTAAGGAATGATGAAACACCAAAATCTCTTACTCTAACGAGGCACACTGTCTTTTAAACAGTCTCTGGAAAATCCTTAATTGATGACCCATTTCCATGCAAATTCTTAAAAACCACACAATCTAGACAGTCATCGGTTACACGTACTATGTAACACATGATCACATGCATACAAGCAAAATTATCATAAATGGCTGATCCTTTAAAATAAATGAATGACGTTTCCTACCTGTCTTAACAGAGAAGCTGAAATGCCATTGTAGAGACCACGAATGCCATCACTTCGAATGATTTTCATCGTCATTTCAAAAATGCCAACCTGACCATGTTGTTGAGTTTGCAAATGTACCTAAAGAATGTCATAAATGAGTGAAATGAGCCTTCATAAATACAGTAATAAATACAGTAATGTTTAGCTAACCTTAAGTAAATCAAGTGGATGTGTACACATTGCTGCACCGGCAGATGCTGTACCACCAAAGTACCATCGACTGAGACGCTGCTCCTTGGAATGGATTGACATTATCTCTGGACCTGTAATATTCATCGAAAAAAAAAAATAAATGACCGTTCCTAAATGGAATAGTAAGCTGGACGAGCAGTGGTCACTTCAACCATATTTCCGATGAATTAATACCAGTGCGACTAATACCAAAACTCTCAGTGTGACTGACCAGCACTGACCTCCACTTCAATTATCCAAGTTAACACCTCTCTGATCTCAGAAGAGGGGGAGTAAGGAAAGAGGATGAATGCTTCACTCTTCATGTCTAATAGTTGCCTGTGTCTATCTGTCTCTATGTATGGCTGCACATGAGGGGGGAAGGATAGAGCACGGCGTTCACTCATTCGATTACCGCAACTTCTCCACCTTTCTGCTAATGACCTTTCTCAAAAACTTCTCATGTCTTCCTTTCCCTACTTTACCTCCTGATTGCACTCCTGCACCTGCACCTGCACATATTTAGCTATCTCTCACATCCACATATCTAGGAATTTTCTGAAGTACTTGTGCATGTGCACTACTTGTAAACTATTCGATTTAATTATTCAAATTTGATATTTTCAAGTCAGCTCTTCTGTTTTTGGAAGAGAGAAAGGAGAATGAGAGAGAGAGAGAGACGTTGACTTGACTGTTGCAATTTTAATGATTGATCATTAACATGTTCATTAATTAATCAACTGAGCGAAGTACTTTTCAGAGTTATTCTTAACATTATTGTTGTCTTCGATGCACTGATGG